ACATTTAATTCTAAAATAACATATTTAATTAAATATAATTATGTTTACATAAATTCATATATATTTCAACTTTTTATATAGGATATATTCAATAAGTGTTATTTATTGTTGTTTTATCCTTTTTACGTCATTGCAGATATTTTATTCCATTGCATTAACTGGCCTTGGGAACACATTTTGTATTAGTTTTTGCTCCGGTATGGAGAATCCCGCAGTTTCTCTGGTATCAGTATGATCTTCTGAGATGTTGGCATCATGACACCCAACAACACACGAATCGTTCATTAAAGAGCATCTGAGACCTTTATCAGAGCCCGGGGCCCTTCAGGTGTCCGTGAAGAAACATTGGATATATTAAGTCCATTAAGAATCTGGCTATAAAACAGCGCACTAGCATCATGAGTTTAGGTCATGACTCGGGCGTCCTGGGGCACAGGTTGTCATGGTGATGTTGACAGGCCTGCTAGCTTGCTCTCCAAAGCTATGGCATTCTAGATTAAATTTCACGCCGGCTGTGGCCACCGCGCCTCGCGGCCCTGTCCTAACGGATCGGCCCGTGCTTATGAAGTGCGCACGCAATCCGATTTGAGCCAGCCGTGCTAAATTGTTACACAGGCAGCCGGACGAGCTAATGCGATTTGGGTAGTTGATTGTAATTGGATGAATTCCCGCGCAGAGAGAGAGATGAAGATAAACGAGGGAATAAAACGGAGACGGTGTTGTGCTCTTAATGGGACGTTATGAGGAAGTGTGCGCGGGGGGAAAAGGTGAAGCTGCTTTACCTCTGAGCTGCTGGGGATTATGGGATGCGATGATGGCTTTCGAACGGCCCTTTCGGCTCTCTCTGACCCAGCGTCTGTTCATCAAACCGATCATGAGCTGGTGTTTGTACACCTGAGGCTTTAATTTGGGAAACACATGCACTATTAGATTTCAGATTGAATCACTCCAGACTTTTTGCAAGTTTTCTAAAGAAAATGTGATTGATTAGTGTTTTTGGTTCCTCTGGTTTACTGTAATGAACTGGCCAGAGAAAGAGCCGGGGCTTTTACTCTCTTATAATAAGTCATATTTGACCGCAAAGTCAAAAAGAAAAGATATTCTGTTTTAATAAATGACGCCTTTTTTATGACCTTTAATATTATTTGCATTACAACATTATTTCCATGACAGTTAAACACACTTTACCTAAATAATTAATATTTATTTATGTATAATACATGTATGTATGCATAATACAGTAAATATATAATATTAGTTATGAAGTTATGAAATATTATAAAATAAAAAAAAAATATATATATATAAATTTTTTTTTTTAATAAAATAGTGTATTTTATTATAAGAGTTATTGTATGAGTTTTTTCATGAAAATAATGTCACAATACATGCCATTA